CCCCACACACATTTAACAAGAGCAAACAGATTAAGATGCATGCCTCATTCCCAAAAATCTCACATTAAGTGTTCCAACTGAACAGGGCAGTGAAGAATACTAATTGAAACTAATTTACAGTTACTAAAAATATCTGTATCAATCCCGCACTGAAAATACCATATACTTCTGCAAACACCGTGAAAACATATAATGTATTTAGATATTGGGAAGAACCAACTCATAAAATAAAGGAACTTAAAGCTTATATTCTTTTAACTGCTACTGTCCTTTGCATAACCACTTGCAAAATGCATAGATGATGGCCAAAGGCATAAGAATAAAATTTTCATTAGAAGCCACTGTTATACCTTAATTAACATGGAGAATAAATACTAAAAGAAACACAAACATTTCATTTTTGTTTTAAACCTAATGCTTACATTTACACCTACTACAAATCCAAGAATTATATATATATAAATAAACACAAGTCAGCACTTTCCTATCACAGATGTGATATGCTGGCACAACAAACAAATGAAAGGTGTGGAGGGGAAAAGGAGTTTCAGGAATGCCATTTCTTCCCCCCCACTGTAAGACATCATTTGAATGATGTCAGTACTGATGTTTTATGCCAACTATAGAGTAGTTGCCAATTAGAATAAGAAAACATCCAAGACAGATAATTTACTCGTTCAAGTCTCTGAAATACCGACATTAATATCCAACACAGCAGGTACATAGTAGTGTTCTACACACTAGAACTTCAATCCCACAAATTCTGGTCAAGGAAAACAGCACAGTACACCAATTTATAACCAACTAGAATAAAGCATCAAAAACATTTTACTAGACAGCACAAATCAGCTACCTTCCAGTATAATTTGCAAGCCTAGTACTTTTTGTTTCAATATGAAAAATACTCTATTTCCATGCATACACCCCTTATACTGCACACTCACATTCTCTCATGTGCCCTACCAGACATGGACAGTAACCTTTCTACTGTGTTCTTTACCATTATTACTTACACACAGAACCAACTTCAGATTAGCCTGTTAACTCAGTGTTGAGATTTAACCCCAGCCTGTAACTAAGCCCCAGACAGCCGCTTACTCACACCCCTCACAGTGGGATGGGGGAGAAAATTGGAAGAGTAAAGGTGAGAAAACTCATGGGTTGCGATAAAGACAATTTAATAAGCAAAAGGCACCTATGCAAGAAAAGCAAAACAAGGAATTAATTCACCACTTCCCATCAGCAGACAGGTGCTCAGCCATCTCCAGGAAAGCAGGGCTCCATCATGCATAACAGTTACTTGGGAAGACAAACATCATCACTCCAAATGTCCCCCTACTTTCTTCTTTTTCCCCCAGCTTTATATGCTGAGCCTGACGTCATATGGTGTGGGATATCCCTTTGGTCAGTTGGGGTCACCTGTCCCAGCTGTGCCCCCTCCCAACCTCTCGTGCACTCCCAATCTCGCTGGGGGGATGAGAAGCAGAAAAGGCCTTGACTCTGTGTAAGCACAGATCAGCAGTAACTAAAACATCCCTGTGCTATCAACACTGTTCTCAACACAAATCCAAAACATAGCCTCATACTAGCTACTGTGAAGAAAATTAAGCCTACTCCAGCCAAAACCAGCACATTCAGTATCACATCTTCCCCTGAAGCTCCTTTAAACTAGGACCTATCATGACACCTGAAAAAAATTACTCTCTGCTAGTAAGTGGTCAGTAAGAATTGCTGATACCGACCTAGTTTATCCTCTTGAAAAAGTCTCTAACCCAAAGCCAACTACTCATGCTACACTCTGCTACCGCCTTCCATCTCCTAGCCCTTTAATGCTAAATCATAACTTAGTTTCATTAAATAGACATTATACTAAATAATTTAACAGAATGGAGATTATTGTTTTGTTTCAGTATAGTTTTAATTTAGGTCACATTCTCACCAAGACAATACATAGTAAGTAACCATTATTTAAAAGGATGTACTCCATAAAAATCCAAGTTCAGAAATGCAAAAATCTCTTCCTTATGTCACAAACTAAGAGATGTGTTTTGATTCTTTCTGCAGCATTTACAGATTACAGCACCAAAAAATATGCTAACATAAATAAGTTAAAGCTGACTCATGCATTTTTACTATTAAACAAGATGCAACGTATGCTTAATACTCCCCCTCCAATTCATATATGCAGAGAATAGTTCAAAACCTACTTGTATGATTCTCTAATAGATGCATCTCAATAACCACACTAAAATTGATATTTTAATTCAAACAACACGAAGCCACAAACTACTTGCTAAAAGAATCTGGCTTTTCTTCAAGAGCAACACTGAAGGTATAAACAAAAAATATTTCAAACACAAAGAGTTAAAAGCTCCAGTTTAGCAAAAAAAAAAAAAAAGGTATAAGTAGTAGAATATAAGGGAACAAGTATTCAAGAATGACCAAGCTTTCTCTGAGAAAGTCTGAGGCGTAAACACAAATTAATTTTTCTCTGAATGCAGAGAAACTAAAATGAACAGGCCAAATTCAACAAGATTCAGGAACGATGTTCCACCTCTTAAGTGATATATGTAATAAGCAGCAGATAATCTGCACGTAGACAGAGTAATAAAATAAGTACACTGCGGAGAACATTAAATGACCGTTCTCAGAGACCAATTAGATTAGTTCAGATAATAAACAGCGGGAGGCAAAGAGTACGAGCTCAAAAAAAAAAGTTTATCATCTGCATGAAGAAATAATAAGCACATTAACAGACAAAGGCAGCTGTGTGCATGTTATTCTATAGCTCAGCTTGCTGAGACCCTAAGAATTAAATGAGCACAAGCATACCAGTTATGCAAAAAGAATTTCCAAACAGAATATTAGTCTTTATATTGAAGATATATTCCAGACCAGAAATAAATTAGAAGATATAATCTGAGATGCTGTTTACGACAGACTTGCCAAGAATTTCAGAGAATACTCAAGTAGTTAGTTCCTTGTTTCTGTGGGAGAGAAGAAACCCCATCGAGTACAGTATTTAAAACCGAGATGCTGACAGAAACATGGAAAAGTAGAAAAGCTAAAGGCCTACAAACACCAAGAGAATATTCTATATTGATGCTAAAATGAGGAGAAAAGCCCACAAAATTTCTGAGAACAAGGAAGATGGTGTGTTCTGCTCACAGATATGAGTAACTAAATAGTCACGTGGCTGTTGTCTTGCAAGCTAAGGAAGCTGTTCAAAAGATTCTTCCTGATGATTCTAGTACACTGATTCTATTCACTGCACAGAAAGGCCCAAGGTGTACTGTTAAAGAGATTACAGTAGCATATCACAAAGTCAGCTAAAAAGAAATAGCTATGTTGTCATCCAACTTCTGACATTAATCTTCATTTGCAAAATAAAACCTTTTAAATTGATGTACTGCTGTGACATAGTAAAAACGCTGGGAAATAACATTTTGGCACACAATTTCCTGTCATCTTGCTCCGAAATAAAAGATATGCTATAGCTACATTCTCTTCCCATGATTGTCTGAAGACACATTAACCTCCATAAATAGCAATATTAAGAGATTTATACAGAAATACAAGGAATCAACTTACCTTTATTTCCCTGTCCTTTAGGTCTCTGTATATAGGAAAATGGAAAAAAAAGAAGCAAAACAAGTTCAGTTAGAATCCTCTAACATTTCCTTTAGGGTAATTCCATTTATTTAGCAATTTTGCTTTTTTCAACTTAAATATCAGTTTAAAATATTGTTAAAAACATGCTACTATAGAAATAATATAGTATTTAAAATACTAACTAAAAAACCTTCAAATTGAAATAATTTCACAAAAAAACACATTGAAATAATCTAGTCTTTTAGAGCACATGAAGCTTAAATGGTGTTGAAATCTGGAATAACGAATGAATTGTGAATAACCCCCCCAAATGTAAGCAATAAACAAAGCATAGAGTAAAAGAACAAAGGGAGTTAGTAGTTTAAAATTACTGCCAGTATTAGAACTTCATTATTATATGTTATCTTTTAAATTGACTGGTGAGTACTTATCAGAGGATAACGTACAATGTCTTGCTTTTTAAATATACAAAGGAATATGCAGTGATACTGTAAACTGAACTAAGAGTTGTGCATTCCTCATCTAGGCAATTACATTGAGAAAATGATACAGTATGCATGAAGCTTCCACACAAGGAAATAATACCTTAAGGAGAACTTTTTTTTTTTTAGGATTAGTCATTACAAAACCCTGTTCATCTGTCATGCACTAAGAATCATTGTAACAGTACAAGTTACAGTATCCTTAACTCCTCTATAGCAAAATAAAATAGCTTAGAAAAACAAATGCTAGTCCAGGGAAATCTAATTCAGCTTCACATATGTACAACTAAGCATGAACGGGTCTCCAGGCTCCACTGCTCTATAGCAGTTCTCAGTCCTGAAAAAACTCAGTATTCAGAGTTAAGTTTAAAAGTTTAGGAGGCAATCACCTCCATCTTGCTTTTATGCGCATCTGTCTCAGAGTTACTGTAAGAGTGCTCCATCTAAAGCTGCAGTGGTTAGTCACCTCCCTCTCCCAAAACTGTGTAGAAAAATCTCTGTAACTTTAAAAACCTCAACTCGTCTTTTGGCATGAATCTAATCCAGACACAAAGGCATGCAGAGACCAACAACAGACATGCAACTAAAAAAAGTTGGGAAGAAGAAGCCTTCGTGGAAGACAGAGGAATGAAAAGCTTGGAGATTACTGAGAAATAAGTGCATAAAAGGAAACTGGAGAGTTTGCACAGAGACAAAAGGAACGAAACATTCACGGCACAGAGAGAAAATAGAAGGGGCCAGGGGACTGCAGGGCCAAAACTTCTGGGGAGTGGCAGAGGCCCACGGAAAAAGCGGACACCAAGACAGAATAGCTCCTAGCCAGAAAGAAAAGCCAACGGGCCTGGTAAAGATAAAAAATAAACTCTAAGCTCCGTGAACAACCAACTAAAAAGCGCAGCACAGAGCATGGAGAGAAACAGAGGAGAACAGCTGGAAGAAGCGGAGACCGCGGTGAAGGAGCAGAAACCAAAGCCGACGGGAAAAGGTGGGTGAAGAAAGGCACGAAGAGAAAGGATGCGGTGACGAGCAGCCAGAGAGAACGAGGGCTGCGCAGGGGAGAGGAGACAGAGCTAGGCGCCGCGGGGAGCCCGGCGCCAAGGCGCTCCGAGAGCGGAGAGGAAACGGGAGCCCGGAGGGGCTCGGCCGGGGAGGGCTCGCCTGCGGGTGGGGAACACACAAAGCGGGCAGG